CATTGAATACAAAACATCGATGTTTCTAAACCTCGACCTTCAAAATTAAAACATTGATGTTAATAAAGTTATTTTAAGTTGTTTTTGCCTCTTGTATAATTACTATCGTTTTGTGGCAATTGGAGGGCGGGGGGTACTTAGTAGTTGTAACTATAAACGAAATAATGAAGATGTATCGTAATTGTATTGATGTACAAATAAACTAATGAAATATATATTCGAAGTTTAAATGCCATTTGGGATTAACTGAATTAAATTAAATAACCACACAAATAATCAAAGACAATCGGTGTTTTTACACATGGCTGTTTTGATATGTTGTTAAGTAAACTCTAACATTTATATTTGTGCGGGGGAGAATTTAATTACACAGGGGTAGTATCTATTACATTATTATTAAGATTTAACTGCCAAAACACGATAATAATAATGATAATAATAATAATAATTATTATAATAATAACAATAATTATAATAATAACAATAATAATAATAATAATAATAACAATAATAATAATAATAATAATAACAATAATAATAACAATAATAATAATAATAATAATAATAATAATAATAATAATAATAATAATAATAATAATCTGAAATCCTCAGCGCTGACGGTCATCTCCAGGGGCCAGAGCTTCCTCAGTTCACCGTGGAAGAACGCGGGAACGGGAGGCCTTAAGCATACCGCACTTGAATTCGCCACCTTTCCGCGTGCGAAATACGAGCAAAAACGTAGAACAGGGCTGTCCACCTGGCGGCCCGCGTGCAAATTATTGTGGCCCGCAAAAATTTATCAGTCGAACCCGAAAGTCCCATGCAGTCCCGTGTCTGGCGAGAACATCGCTCGCCTAGCGCACGCGCTCTGTCCAGACAAAACGTAAAAATATGTTAAGTTGGGATTTAAGATTTTTATCTTGTAAATTCAGAAAATTCAAAATCATTCCAGTATGTTTACCTGCGTTATGCATGTTACGGCTTGGTATTACGCATGGTTCCACTCATCCTCACCGTTTTAGAGCACTCGGGCAAACTGCTGAGATCAACAACAACAATGCGGGGTAGTCAGGTGTGGATCGCCCGAGTAATCTAAACAGTCGTATGACCCGCAACCCCAGAACAGATTTTGATTGCTTTAGAGAGAGAAAGAGAGAGAGAGAAAGAGAGAGAAAGAGAGAGAAAGAGAGAGAAAGAAAGAGAGAGAGAGAGAGAAAGACAGAGAGAAAGACAGAGAAAGAGAGAGAAAGAGAGAGAAAGACAGAGAAAGAGAGAGAGAGAGAAAGAGAGAGACTACGCAATATAAATATAGTATTTTATTGCTGCGGGAATTTTTGACAGAAAAATGCGAATTTTCAGCAGAAAACTCTCAATACTGCACCCTAATAATAAAAAAGTGGATAATTCTTGTACCTACATGTAGTAAATTACTTCCGTAGCATAGTCTGAATCCACGTTTGTTGAATCCTTGACACCCAAAAACTGGAGTACGGCAAAACTTATTTCTGACTGTCTCACTGCCAACAATGCTAGCGTCTAAAACATAAATATGATTAATCAAAATTATTATTCCGCAATCGATCTGACTGATGTCGCGGCCCCTTGAATTTTTGGAATACTTTTCATAAAGTCTAAACGTCATTTTTGTCTAAAGAATAACTCAGAATGTTATCTTCAACTTTTTCCTGTGATAGAGAAAAATACACATAAAATTTATGTCGTATTTTCGTTAAATTCCCATATATTCCAAAAACTGGAAAAGGCAAAATTTTGCTCAGCGTCTTCCTACTGCTGTAATAATCATGATCGATTTTTTATTTAATGAAATATTATTTTAAGATCTGTTTTAGAGAAACATATGTTCAATTGCTCATAAATATTTGCGAATTTGTGTAATTTTAGTGAAACGTTTTATTTTTTGTGAATTTGTAAATTTACGTGAAACAATTATTTTCTCGAAAACAGCTGTCATGTTTTCTAAAATTTATTCCCTCGTATGTCGCAAATATGGAAAAGGAAATGATAGTCCCTTTTTTTTTGCGAACATTCAGTATTTTCTAAAATTGCAAACAAAATCGGAATTTAAAATTTGAATTTCCCGCGCTTTTTTGACAGTTCGCAAAATGTTAACACGGCGGTTTCAAATTCTTCGAATTGTCATTGGTGCCCGTCGTGGTGATCTTATGAAGAAGACATTCTTATGAAATATTTTTTAGGAAGGTAGTACATTTAATTAAGAACTAATAAATATACTTATTTTGCTTTAAAAATATTTTATCGCTGATTCTTGTATTCAAAACTTGGAAGCTCACTTTGATTCAATCAAGGCAAGCTTACGTGCAATACTTGCTTTTATGTGTGTATGTGGTGCAACAAATACTGTAACAGTTAAATATATTAATGACAGTTTCATTTGTAAAAGTAAGAAATTGCTTAGTGTTCCTGATCATCGAAATATGTGCAGACATGCACCACAGGCGCTTCGTTTGAATTGGATAAATTTGAATTTTTCAAACTTTAGTACACGAGATGTTAGTAGGGAAAACAATTGCAATATTTTAATAAGACATGATTCCAATAAAGCAAGAAAATATGTGCTTTTCTAGTTTTTCTTTTGTTTTCTCTGTTGTATCTTTCCATTTTTCAGATTTTGTTTTCCATTCTCTTCTTTTCATCTTTTTCATTTCATTTTGTTCTTTCGTTTCAAGTTGTTCTCGTTTTCTTCAACCGTTATTGCATCCAATCTCATAAAATGAATAGCCCAACAGAATGTTTTATATTTCCAGCAAAGGTCTTCTGCTTCTTCGTTTATATGGCTGCTGTAAATGGAGAACTAGCAGACCTGGAGGACTAGCAGCGCTTTCATGATGTGCCCTCACATATACGAAGGGAAACCTTTGAGTTTCTTTACGATTTTTTCTCTGGCAGGGTTCAAAAACGTATAGGAAGAAAAAGAATCCTACGAGTTTCTAATTTTGCGTTCCTTTGAAACAACTCAGACCACAGCTTCTCTGAAGGATATGAATTAATGTCTGGAATAGATTTACTTAGTTTGAAGTACCAGTATATCCTTTGCACGATTCATACGTATTGCTTGACAAAATAACAGACATGTATATCATTATTGTGTGTTTAGAGAAACAATTGATCTTTCTTATTACTGATTCATTGATAAT